TTTCGGCCCATCCACTTAACAAATCAGGGAAGCAGGAAAGCAGGGAGTTTATGGACTTTTGTCGCTTTTGGAGGTTGGACCATAGTATATATTATAGTGACAAACAACAAACAGTGCTTGGGCTTTCGGCCCATCCGCTCAACAAATCAGGGAGAGTTTAGGGTTAGTCGCTTTTGGGGTTTGGACCATTCCATTTGTTGGATACCCCAAAAATGACTTAAACCCAGGAACTGGTTCCTTTTGGGGGGACATCAACAGCCCCTGGGTTTGAGTAAACCTTGGGACAATCAGAATGGAAAATTGATCTGGACCATTTTGGTGGTAAACAAAGAGTTTGGCCTTTCGGCCTATCTCAAGAACTGAGCTGGGAAATCCGATAAGCAATGTTGGAGGATTGGTTGGATACTTCCGGGGACAAGACTCGTGCAAGCTGTGGAACTTCGCCGCGGTAAGCGGTTACAAGCTACTTGCAAGGTAAGTACCCTCCCACCAATTAACAGGGAACCCGACGTTGGGGGTTCCATTTGAAATGAAAGTTGTCTTCCAGGCCCCCTCAACGTCGGGTTCCCTGCTAATCAGTGGGAGGGTGAGATAAATTTGGGATTCGGAACTCACTGTATTTCAGCCACGAAAAGCAGAGGACGTACTGCTAGTTGCATGTCCTTGTGCGTGACTGCGTAACGTGGCTTAGGTCCTTCCCACATCGTATTTCCCTGGAAATCGCAGGAAATACATTCAAACAGCGAGATGAAACCCGAGAAAGGTCAAACTTTTTTCCCAAGCTGCTTACATTGCCAGTCTCATCTTACCGTTTTTCCCTTCAATGCTGGGTCAATTTGTGCTCCGGGACAGTCCAACATCAAGGAATTCCTAGTAATCTCGGCATTAACCCTCTCTTGGGACGTGCAAACGCCGCACATGCATGCGACAAATGCGAGAATACGCAAAAACACCTAGAACGCCTAACACGCCTTGAAAACCAAAATGCCTAGGAATTCCTGGGCATCGGAATTTCCAAGGTTTCGTGTTTTGCAGGAGGCTGCTCCGACCTCTCCGGTGAGAACTTGGGCGTGAGTGGATCCTCTTTCTTCGCAGGCGGATGCCGCAGGTTGGTTTCCCCTGGCTGCTGGTGTTGACCCCATATAAATCAACTCCAGTTCATAGGAGCGTGGTCCCCTCCAGTGATGATTCCTCACTAAACCTAGGGACACCCTGTTTTTGATGAACTGGGATTGATCAAAAAATATGGGGTCACCATTAGTTGGTTTGATCCTGAACCTTTAACTCCGCAACATGGGGCCCAGTAACCGGGGACCGGTTGCTGGCCGACTTGGGGACCGGTTGCCGGGGATGACGAGCTCCAATCCGTTCCAAAGCGCGCCTCGTACTGTTGGGGATAGTACCTGAGCATTATTGTTTGGAGGGGTATTTATTTTAGGATTTTTTTCGTTTTTTTTTTAGGATTTTTTTTCGCTTTTGGCTTCTTGGCTTCTTGGCTTCTTGGCTTCTTGGCTTCTCGGCTTCTGGGCTTCTGGGCTTCTTGGCTTCTTGGCTTCTTGGCTTCTTGGCTTCTTGGCTTTTCGGCTTCTTGGCTTCTCGGCTTCTGGGCTTCTAGGCTTTTCGGCTTTTTGCTGGTTTATGCGGCTTTTGGTGGCTTTTTGGCTTTTCGCATCCTCTGCATTCCCAGTTCCTCTTCGGCAGGTGGCGTTTTTCCGACATCATGGGGGGGGCTGCCGCCCCCCCCAACCCCCCCGCTACGTTTTAGATTTTCTGCAGAGATTTAATTAGTTGCACCCCTAGTTGAATCATCAATTCTTCGAACATCATGGGGGGGTTGCACCCCTAGTTGAATCATCAATTCTTCGACCATCATGGGGGGGGGCTGCCGCCCCCCCCAACCCCCCCGCTACTTTTTAGACTTTTTGCAGAGATTTAATTGCACCCCTATTCAAATCATCACTTCTGCAAACAACATCGTGGGGGGGGCTGCCGCCCCCCCCACTACTTTTTATATTTTTTACAGGGATTGACATGCCCTCCTACTTGAATCATCATTTCTTTGACCCCGTCACACGATTTGTGGGTGATGCTAGGGATGTTGGTGGGACATGCGGGGGATGTTGACGGGCTAGTGTAAAATGCGTCAATTTCGCGAGAACATGCTGTAAAATACGACACTTTACTGGCCCGGCAGAGATTGAATTGCACCCCTGTTTGAATCATCACTTTTTCGAGCGTCCAATTTCGCGAGAAAATGCTGCAAAATACGACATTTTAGGTAATCTGTGTAGTCCGTGTATGTCTGTATGTATGCATTTCTTCGAACATCATAGGGGAAGCCACCCCCGCCAACCCTCCCGCTGCCTTTAAATTCTATCACACCCTTTCTTGAATCATTGCACCCCTACTTGAATCACCACTTCTTCCGACATCATGGGGGGGCTGCCGCCCCCCCCCAACCCCCCCGCTACGTTTTAGATTTTCTACAGAGATTTAATTAATTGCACCCCTAGTTGAATCATCAATTCTTCGAACATCATGGGGGGGGCTGCCGCCCCCCCCAACCCCCCCGCTACTTTTTAGACTTTTTGCAGAGATTTAATTGCACCCCTGTTCGAATCATCACTACCCCGCTCTGTTTTTCTTAATTGTGTTTTTGTATTTTTTTTGCTGGGATTGAAATGCCCTCCTGTTTGAAGCATTATTGTTTTGACCCCGTCAACCCGCCAGCTACATTTTTGGATTTTGTTACCCACGATTTGTTGGTGATGCTAGGGATGTTGGTCGGACATGCGGGGGATGTTGAAAACGATGCTGGGGATGTTGACGAGCTAGTGTAAAATGCGTCAATTTCGCGAGAAAATGCTGTAAAATACGACATTTTGCTGGCCCGGACGAAAAACGGAAAAAAAAAAAAAAAAAAAAAAAAAAAAAAAAAAAAAAAAAAAAAAAAAAAAAAAAAAAAAAAAAAAAACGAAAAAAAATTCCCAAAATATATCCGCACCCTTATTGTTTGGAGGGCCATTTATACTAGCCAAGACAAAAAACAAGAAACCCAACAAAAAGACTCGGCCCTTATTGTTTGGGACAAGGATGGTTCTCCCCACTATCCAGCAAATAGGCTCCAGCCTTCTCGTGTCGGAGTTTGTCCGCGCACAGGGCCAAGACAGCACATCCAGATTGCATTCATCGGGAGTTTCAGGCCAGCTTGTTGTACGGCGTGCATTATCAACCTTCTTTGCTTATGCGGGTGTGTCTGTTTTGGAGTTAAAGCGCCCTTCTGCAATTGAAAGACACGCCAAAAGGAAACCGGACCCCGATATTCTGAACGTCGAGTCGTCTTCTACAGGGTCCTTTTTAGACTACTGAGTATTGGGTGGCATGCATTGATACCTTCCCCCCCGCGATCGATACGGTGCGCAGACGGTGCAATGGGCTTTGGGCAAGAGGGAAGAAGTTCTGATACAGGAGGTGTCCCTTGCTGCCTGCCTGCCTGCTGGCTCGCCTGCCTGCCTGCCTGCCTGCCTGCCTGCTTTCTTGCGTGCTTCCTTCAAGCCTGCCTGCCTTCTTACCTGCTTGCTTGGCTGGCTTGCCTGCTTGCCTGCTTGCCTGCATGCATTCCCCTGCCTGCCCTGAATGCCCTGCCTGCTTGCTTGCACGATCTTCCGCGCATGCTTGGTTGCTTTCCTGCTTGCACGCTGGCGAGCTTGCTTGCTTGCTTGCTTGCTTGCTTGCTTGCTTGCTTGCTTGCTTGCTTGCTTGCTTGCTTGCTTGCTTGCTTGCTTGCTTGCTTGCTTGCTTGCTTGCTTGCTTGCTTGCTTGCTTGCTTGCTTGCTTGCTTGCTTGCTTGCTTTGTCCTGCCTGCACGCATGCCCCTGCCTGCCCTGCTTGCTTGCTTGCGTGTGTGCTTTGCTGGCTAGCTTGCTTGATTGCTTCCCTTGCTTGCCTGCCTGCCTGCCTGCCTTGCTTGGTTTCTGTTGTTTGTGTGTGTGTGTGAGGACTGACCCCGTTTGTCGCACGCGGATTCGAAGCTTTGCTTGGTATGGGCAAGCTCTTTTTGCACCCGACCTACACAAAGACACGCCCATTTCGGATACTTTTGGAAACTCCGATTGATCCGGGAGATGGCAGACAATTGATGCATTCTCGAGTGGTCTAAGTTGACGGTGGCTTCCCGGAGCACGGTTATGTCCCGCAATGACGGGTTTCCGATTGGTTTCCTTGTCAACCCAATCCTTTCTTGGGGTACCCTCAAAAAGACAGCCCCGAATGGTTTTGGATTTTTATGTTTTTAGCCGCCAACCTATTGAACGGTATTGAGGGTTTTGAAAGGTCAGCCTAGGGTGTCAAGGTCAATCGTTGCAACCACCTTGAAGGTTTTAAACAACCCTCATATTAGGTGGTTCTGCCCATTTGCATTGGGATTAGAGCAGTCCCTATAAGATAAACACGTTTACCCAGAGTCTCCAGGACCCTCGACAAAATCGGTTGAGGAGCGGGGGCATTTGCCCAAAATAAGGGGGTCTTTATTTATTTAGAAGGGTGAGAAGGAGACTCCAAACATATCGAAATGCTGGGCTGGAAGAAAAAGTTAAGACCATCGGGTGGAAAAAGTAAGAACAAACAAGCAGTAGAAAAAAAAGAAGGGAAAAAGCGCTTGCGCTCCAGGCGGGTACTGGATGGTGGAGGCAGAAGGCTGTGGCCCCCGACAGTGGCTGCTGCAGAAGGCCCAGGCAGTGGAGACTCGTTAAGTCGGGTTCCGATCCAAAGTTTTGAGAGAAAGGACACCAAAAGGACAACCGAAATCCATTTTGGTGTCCCCCTATTTTTGAGACAGAGCCCTGTTGATCCTCCCCACTTCTTCAAAAATGGAATTCGGGGCGGGGGTGACCGCTGGAAGTTTCATTATTTCCCCTGTTCGAAAGATCAGGGTTCAAAGGCAATCCAAAAATCCTTGCCCTGGGTTACGAAAGTTGGTTGGGGGAAGAATGACCGTTGGAATTCGATTTGTAGTTCCATTTCCCCCGTGGGGGTGACTCCAAGAACGTGGAATTGGGGTGACTGGGAATTTGACGAAGCGAGAAGTTCAGGCCCACCAACCATGGAATCAAACACATCCTCAGCTTGTTTGTATTGCCTGTTGACAGCATACACAGGAAACCGTTGGGTTAGGAACGAGTGGGACTTGAAGAGTCCGTGTCTTGCTTGGGAGAAAAAATGGGACAAAGGCTGCCTTCTGGTGTCGCTTCAGATCTAGGTCCAAGGCGCGTCGTTCAGGGTAGCCTTTTTGAGTGGCTTCCAAGGGAAACCAAAGCTTCACAAGCCAAACAGCATGGTAGCAAAAGAACATGTTGTTTGCAGCCCCCTACCAAAATGAACAGGACAAAAAAAAACTTGATCCAAGAACGGTGAATCGAAAAGCAAAGGCCACTCATTTTCGGGGCCACGAAAACGAGACAAACAAACAAAAAAACAACAACCAATATGGCCGGTCGACTCGAGGTGTCGGACGAATCCCGACTCCTCGCGCAACTCCGTGCGGAGATTTGCGCGCAGGAGAGCGGACGCCTGGCGAGCATTTGTTTTCATTTGGGGGGGGGGGGCCTCCGGAGGGGGAGGGGAGGGGGGAGGGGGGGGAGGGGGGGGAGGGGGAGGGGGAGGGGGGGAGGGGGGAGGGGGAGGGGGGGAGGGGGGGGGGGGAGGGGGGAGGGAGGGAGGGGGGGGAGGGGGAGGGGGAGGGGGAGGGGGGAGGGGGGAGGGGGAGGGGGGGAGGGGGGCATTTGGGTATGGGTCAAAATTAAACCACCAGGAATTGGACCACAGGTTGTAGTCATTGTTTCCTTTTAAAATGGGTGCCATTTTGGGGTTACCCTAATTTTTGACAACCACGCCGTTTTTTTCATCTGGTGGGGATCAATGGTACGGTCACGGCGTTCGAACCACTTACCCTCCGTGGGGGTCCTGGAAGACCGTTTTTCCTTTTAAAGGCACCCCCGAACCAAACGTCAGGTTCCATGTCAATTGGTGGGAGGGACATTTCTGGGGACTCCTCCAAAAAAGAAACATATCTTTGGGTAAATATGAAACATCAGAACATATGTTTCATTCTGTATACCTCAAGATCGTGACGGTTTTGTTTTTGGTTATCAAGTCAACAAATGGAGGGTGTTTCCCTTTAACTTACTGCTTTGCGATCATGTTTTTTGTCAGTACAATCAGGGGTCCCGTTATACGAGTGAAGGTAGATGGCACTAGTTGTTTGGTGTCAGCATAGGAGGTGTTGCCTTCGACTTTCACCCAAGTTTTTTGTGGGTTGTTCACGAGAGACATACTAAGTACATGGAGCATCCACAAAAATGTTGCGGCTCAAAGAATCTGCCTAGTCCATGCGAGTTGTTCCGCTGATGAAGGCCCTCTTCAAAAATTGCTGGTTCGAAAGGCAGAGTTTCAGGAGCGCGAATCGAGAACCATCCCTTTTGGTGTTCCAGGGATCAGGATCAGTGCATTCCCAAAGCTATTTGGTCTCCTAAAGGTCATAAGGCCTGCTGGTTCTCAGGAGTTTCGGGAATGAACCGGAAGGATCCCACCGGACACCACATGGCATGATTTTCAGAGGTCGAAGCTTCTCCAACTCGCAAGTGTTTTCAGGCTTTGAAATAGTATGACTTGACATCGGAACCAATTGTGATCTTTTATCAGACATGGGGATGTGGGCGCTCTTTCGGCCGGCTTCGCCTATCATTTTAACCCAGCGGACTCCAACCTGAAGCCTCCCGGAAGGCTGCCACACGAAGACCAAATCCATAGCTTCAACCACGCGGCATTTCTTTTGCCCAGGGAAATGAATGGAATGAGGTTGTTTTTATTGCTGCGATAGGGAACGAAGGAATGGACCGTTCGGGGATTCCCGAAGAAAGGACTCCAGCTGGATGGAAAAGTCAGGAAGACTCCCTTCTCCAGGTCGCAAGTGATATCAGGTGTGGAACAAGCAAAAGACTGAAGCAGTTCGCTTGGCGCTTTCTCTGAGGCGCTGCTCCGGCGGAGTACGTGGCAGCCAGTGCTGCGGACCAAGAAGCGCTGGCGTGGTATCTGAAGGGTGCTCAGCTCTTGGAGAAGGGCTGCTGGGCAACCAAAAAACAATCCGCGCCGAAAGCACGTTGTTTGTTGGTTTTTGGGTGGGTTCAGTGGCGACAACACTCCCATTCCTGAACTTACTATAAGAGTGTTGATTTTTGGGCGGGTAATTTTTGTTCAAGAACGGTTTTGAAGGGAATCCCCCATTTTGAGGCAAACCCGCTTTGATTCGAGTTGGCTGGGCAAAAACTCCCTCGCCTTGCGGGGCCATATTTCTACATCTGGTGATCCGAGTCCGAGCCACCCGACGAGTGTCCCAGGTGACATGGCGGGACTGGGCTGGATGAAGGCAGCCGCCCAGAAGTCCCCCTCCTTGGCGTACCACTTCCAGCTGTGAGGGAGAAAAACGCGGCGAGCAGAAAGAAG